AGTTTATACAGCTGATATCCCAACCCATCCTAACACAGTCATCACCACGTACGCCGATGATACATGTGTCGTATCAGTTAATAACGACCCAACAATTGCATCCCAAACCCTTCAATCACACATCACAAACCTTGAAGAATGGTGTCAAAACTGGAGAATAAAAATAAATTCCAATAAATCCCATCAAATCACCTTTATCCTTTGTCGTAAACCTATGTCCTCTTGTCCTACAGTATCCTTTAATAATACCCCACTTATTCCTGTTGAACAAATTCGATACCTTGGACTCCACTTAGACAAACGTCTAACTTGGAATCCTCATACCAGACTGAAACGACAAGAAACAGCTCGACGTTTCCGACTACTCCAGCACTTACTAGATAAACGCTCTAACCTCCCAGTCAATTACAAAAGACTCATATACATGACTACAATAAGACCTATTTGGACTTACGGAGTTGAGCTCTGGGGCTCCACTAAGCCATCGAATTCCTCTCGTATTCAATCCTTACAATCCAAAATCCTTCGTAAAATCCTCACTGCTCCTTACTTTGTAACAAACAAAATCATCCATAACGACCTTAATGTTCCTTATGTTTCTGACTTGGCCCAATCCAGATACCTATCCTTCCATAACAAACTTCAGAACCATCCAAACCCTCTCGTTTCTAACCTTGCTTCCTCTTCGATCCCTGACAACCCTCAGAGGCGTCTGAAAAGAAGATGGCCTCGAGATCTCCTTTTGTAAATACATTTTTAGAGTGCTACCAATGGGTAGTTTCTCAACATGTGATTTCATGCTATTTTATTCCTTTGTTCACATTTACTGAATGTATTTTTACTTGTAAGACAGTTGTAAATATCACCAATAAAAAAAAAATAAAAAAAAAATATTAATCACACGAACAATAATACTTTAAGAGATACTTTTTAAATATTTTTTTCGATAAAACATGGTTATATTTTACCATTTGGGGGTAAATTGGTTTGCTTCAGTCAATGGAACCTCAGGATGAAGAGACAAAATTTCCTCTCTGAAATGCGAAACTTAAAAATATTAAGGCTGCAGGAATTTCCTGCAGAACTACTTAAATGTGGAGGAAGTGAATTACTGAAAATCCTTAAGAATATCATGATTCGGATCTGGACTGATGAAGTAAGGCCAGAATTTTGGAATTAATCAATAATATGTCCAATCCATAAAAAGAGTGATCGGCTAGTCTGCGGTAATTATAGAGGCATCTCCTTACTCTCTTGTGCGTACAAAGTGTTGTCCAACATTCTTTTCCAACGACTATTCGCCTATGCAGAAAAGATCTTCGGCCTGTACCAGTGTGGTTTTCGGAAAGGATGATCTACCATTGACCAGATATTTTGCGTGCGCATCATGCTCGAAAAAGGACGTGAATGTAAGCTTAAAACACATAATATTTTTGTTGATTTTAAAGAAGCATATGATAGTGTTCATAGGGAACAGCTTTATGAGGCAATGAGAGAGCTCGGAATCCCTGAAAAACTTATTAGATTGGTAAGACTCACCATGAGAGAAGTGAGATGCATGGTACAAGTTGGAGGAGCAAGATCGGCAGAACTCACTTCTGGAAAACGACTAAGGCAGGAAGATACTCTGGCATGTCTCTTTGATTTAGCTTTTGAGAAGTCCATTAGAGATTCTGGTATTCAAGAGGGCGGAACAGTATTCAGCCGGACAGTGCAACTTCTTGCATATGCAGATGATATCGACATTGCTGGACGTTCTTTCTAGGCAGTTTCTGATGGATTCTTGAAACTAGTGGAAGCGGCAAGAAAAATGGGCCTTAAAGTTAAAGAGGAAAATCCCAGTTCGAAAGGATTATCATCGGAGAATTCTCTCCGAATATTTATCTCGGATACCTTATAACTTATGATAATCTTGTTTTTTTTTTTTTTTTTTTTTTTTTTTTTAATAGTAATACAATCAGCCACTGTTGGAGGGCTATAAGTATTAAGGCTAAAAGTTCTCATTCATACAGTATATACAAGTAATACAGAAGTAACTATAAATATAAAAAGTAAATAAACAATACTTATAAAAAAAATGTAAATCAATAGAAAAAAAAAATAAATAAACAAAATAAAATAAAAAACTTCTAAACACATTCATACCTATATACAATATATACATTCGCCCAGGAATCTCCGAGCCAGGCTTTTCTCCCCACATGTGGAAAGCAAAGCAGGACTCCAGAGATCCCAGTGCCACTTTTCCAGCCGCATCACTAGTATTAAAAGCCAGTGGAGGCTGAAGGAGGGCACTAGAGCCACAGATGCTCAGGACTTGAGTGGAGAAGCTGGCCATTGCCAGGACTCCAGAAGCATATTTACAATAGATCTCGCGGCCACTGCCGTTTTAACCTTCGAGGGGGATTGTAGGGATGGTGGGAGCTGGATAGGGATTGAGCTAGAGGATTTGGATGATGGATAAGGTTCTGGTGAAAGTTTGAGAATCTGGATGGGATGATGTCGAGGACAAAAGGGATGTTAAGGTCATGGTGTAGGGTCTTATTTGTGACATAATATGGGGCATTGGCTATTGTTCTAAGTACTTTGGACTGGAAGGATTGGATGCGTTTGATATTCGAATGTTTAGCAGTTCCCCACAGTTCAAGTCCGTAGGTCCAGATAGGTTTCAGTATTGTCTTGTAGATTAAAAGTTTATTTTCAATCGAAAGATGAGATGTCCTGCTTAGTAGTCTATATAGCTGGCCATATCGTTGGTTAAGTTCTTGTCTTTTAAGTCTCGTATGTGGGTTCCAAGTTAGTCTTTTGTCTAGAAGGAAGCCAAGGTAACGGACTGTATCTGAGTAGGGAAGTGGTATTGAATTGAAAAGGATTGTGGGACAGGATCTGCGTCGCAGAGTGAAAGTAATATATTTACATTTTGCTTCATTGATTTTAATGCGCCAGTCGTTGCACCACTGCTCAATCAAGGAGAGGTGAGATTGTAGGTTTTGAGATGCTATTTGAGGATCTGAGTGGGAGGATAGAATGGCAGTATCATCGGCAAATGTAGCTAGGAAGGTATCGGGATTTGGAGGGATATCGGCAGTGAAAAGGATGTAGAGAACTGGACCCAAAACACTGCCTTGTGGAACACCAGCCTCAACTGGATAGTAAGTGGAGAATTCGGTGCAGCAACGGACTTGGAAGGAACGATTTGAGGGATAGGATTTGATGACTAGGTATAAGGATTGGGGTAAATGGGTTTTGAGCTTGAAAAGCAAGCCATCGTGCCACACCCGGTCGAAAGCTTGCGCTACGTCCAGAAAGGCACCAGTGCAATATTGCTTGTTTTCAAGTATGATAATCTTGTAGATTCTGAAAATAAGCGAAGAGTGCTATGTGCCAATCGTTGTTATTACAGTCTCAGACCATATTTTAGGAGCCGTGCTTTAACCATAGGAACAAAAATCCTATTGTAAAACGCAATTATTCGATCGATACTCCTTTATGGCTCAGAAACATGGACTATCTCCAAAACTGACGAACAGAATCTAATGGTCTTTGAGAAGAAGATTTTGCGTAAGATCTTTGGAGCTGTGAAAGTTGACCAGTCATGGAGACGTCGGACAAACCAGGAGCTCAAAGATTTGTTTAAAGAACCATAGGTGGTTCATTTCATGAAGCTCGATAGATTGAGGTGGACTAGGCACGTCGCTCGAATGGCTGAGAATCACATCCCGAAAAAGATCACGAAAGAAGTAATGCACGGAACAAGATGTAGAGGAAGACCTCGGCTTCGTTGGAGTGACGGTATGGCTGGTGATTCCAGGTCCATGTTAGAAGTGAGGAACTGGGTGGCGGCTGCACAGGATAGGAACAATCGGTGGAGGCTGGTCGAGTTGTTACGCCGACTGAATATAATAGAATATATCAACTTACCATAACACATTAATTGCAATCTATGCGTATTACACTGCTATTCTCATCAGACATGTTGACATCACAAAAGCATCGCTGACCCTACAACATTATTTACAAATATTACAGGAATGGTTTAAAAAATGGAAAATTTAACTCAACAGTGATAAATCTCAGCACACCACCTTCACGCACCGACATGACACGTTCACTTTGGTACGTCAGTAACAAAACATTACATACAGACTTAAACATACCGATGGTACAAGATCACATTCAGACATCATATAAAAAATTCCATGCCTAACTTCACCAACAACCCATTATACTTATACAAAACATGGCCACGAGACATATGCCAGAAAACGACCGACGAAGGCTGAAAAGGAGCTGGTTAATGGATCTCGTGGATTAAATGTTTCTTTTATTTCAAGTTAGGAGTAGGTGCCGATGGGTACGTCCCTCATGCCTGACATGCCAATTCTATCAATAAATATCACATTCGCTTATTGTTACAGGCTGACAGGTGTGAATTAAATAATAAATATTAAACAAATAAAATAAAATCAAAAATGTGTGGATTAATTTTAATGTATTTTTTTCTATATTAAAAAGGTCATTGAGTATATCATATATTTTATATAAAAATACTCATTTAAAAAGTAAAAAGTAAAAACAAAATGTAAAACTTTGTTCAAATTAATAATTTTTGTTGTTGTTAAAATGAAGTGTTTAAGACTTTATTTTATCCATAAAATGCAACTGTTATATCCTCCTTAGCTGTTTATATTAATCTCTCCAAAGTAAATTCAATAAGAGCAGTTTAATACCTATAGAGATGATTGATCCGTCACAAAACGTAATGCTGTCATACAATTCTGAGTTTATATATTATAAAATAATAATTTCATGCTCTAGGTATCTGATTTTTGTTATGAGTTGGCAGTGGGAATAGGAAGTTGATGATATCAATTCGACATATTAGGATACATGTTTCAGGAGCCACTCCTTGCTACATGTGGTACTGGTTTACCTGTTGGGTAAAAATTACGAATCTCGATTTTTTTTATCAAGGGAGCACTGGCGCTCTCTATTGATTTTTCAGAAGTGTAGCAACCGATCGAGACCTTGATTTTTCCAGTAGAGTGAGCTTTTAACGTATTATAATGTCAGTAATGGATTGTCCGGTAACGTAAATGAAATTCAAAAATTAATTCTGTAATGTGACAAAAGTGAATTTATTTAGTTCCCCTCAGTGATACCTTGTGAACACAATGCAAGTTGCTACTTTATTTCGTGAAGCTACTACTCTATTAGGTGCTGGTATGGAAGCACCTGAAGGAACAGGGCTCAAACTGTGAGTTTAAGTTTAAGTGCTGAATTATAAATATATTGTTTAGATATATTCTTTTTTACTCGGATTTTCTTCTACTAGTTTAACCTTTATGCAGTTTGTTTACATTGCTCTGAAGCATTTGTCATTGGATATTAAATTCCTTGGGTGTTTTCTACTCTTGATATGTCATTCCCTTTAAATTTTGTGTATTTTTGGTTGGATGAAAATGTATATTTACACACACACATATATTTATGTCAAATATCATCTCATATTTTTAAAACTTGATTTGCTATTAACTAATAGTATTATTCATTGTTGCTCTTCATTATTCCTTTTCATTATTAATACGTTTATTAAAAAAAAAAAAACACTGTTGATGAATCTTAACTCTCAAATCTCAGTACCCTTATATTTGAAAGAACTGTTGTTTATTATTTGATTTGTACAATTTATGGTTTACATTCATTAGTATTTAGGCATCGATAAAAAAGAATTTTTTTGAAAATGGATTGCAGTAGTCTTATGTTTATCAGTTGTCATTTTAGGGCATCTGGCTTCATTATAGTTCATATTGTGATTATAGATAAAATTGTGACTTGATTATAGTTCAAACTGTATTTTTTTCTATTGTTTCTGGTATTGTTCAATTTAAATTTGCCTGACAATTTACTTTATATGATGGTCATTAAATTACAGCCTGCTTTTATTTTATTTACTTTATACCTTTTCATGAATCCTTGTTTATCTTTTTTGACATGTATTTATTGCTTTAAACAATGTGTATTTTTTATACCGTTTAACTTGGTAATCCTGGAATAGCAAATCATTCCCTGTACTTGCATTAGTCCTATTTCTGTTTAAGCATTTCATTACAGTATATATATTTATGATGTTAATTGTTTTCCTATCGGGTTTAACGAATTCTTAAAAGGTTATGATCTAATTGAGATAATATTATTATGTATAACTTCTGTTTTTTAATGTACTGGTTCAGAATATCAGTTTAATTATATATCTATTTCAATCAGTTATGTATCATAATGGTTTTTTAAACTGTGTTTTGTATATTTTATACTATCTGGATTTTTTTTAATTTAAGGTATTAAAATTTTATTTGGAGTGCACCAATATTTTTTTCATCTGATATGTTTGTAGAGTTGACATAATAATTGTTTACTCAAATACTTCCTGTTGGTTTCTTTTTTTTTATTTTAAGCCTATAACATTGTGACGTAATGCAGCTTTGAAATATGATATCGAGCCATAACTACTTTATTTTGATGTATTTGTTAACCAGTTTTATACCTTAAGAAATTTTTATTTTTCAATTTCCAAGATCCATAACAACTTTTTAATTTCTAAAAAATTATATGTCCATCGCAGACGTTAGTTGAAAATTGTTCTTCACCTTGATAAGTTCTTTCATTTATTTAGCTAGGGCTTAGGTTTATAAACTGTGGTTTGTGGAGCTCAGTGGTTCCAGTAGCCACATCCTGTGTTCCATGGAATAATTTTGATATTAATTTTACATTCTCTGACTTTTCACTTTTATTGAGACAAGACATTTAGTTAAAATCCTACATTGTCAAGATTCTTCTTATTTATTGTTACTTAAACAATTATCAATATAACTGCTTATTACTATAACTTCTTAAAATGCAGTGAGTTGGGATGGGATCTGCAAAGGTATTGTTAAAGAAGAGGTCTTAAGACTAAGTCCAAGTTCAAGAATTTTGAGTCTAGAGACTAGTATGTTAAAAAGGGCCAAGTATGAAAGGTGTCTGCTTTTACTGGTATAGTAATAATTATCATAGACGTACTTGTGATCACCATCATTATTTCAGGTATTCTGTCATTATACACTGACAGGCAAAAAATTCCACCCACTTGATTTTTTCATGTTTTCATCTAAAAATATTTCTGCTTTGGATTGGTCTATTGTTTTTAATGAATAAATAGGTAATCTTTTTGTTTTTTTTTTCAATTAGGAATGTTAATATAGAGGACAATAACTCTTAATCCTTAATTCAATGAAATGATTCTAGATTCCAATGTTTACTTTCTATGGAATCAAAATGTTTATTCAGTATCATTAGTTCAGTGCCGTTTCTTGCAGCACATTTCTTAGTCTCCGGCTTTTAATTTTTTCAATATTAAGTTTAAAAATGCATCTTAGTGCTGAGGATGTTGCGCGTGGTGTGGCACTTATTGATATACCGCCATCAGCCGTTTTCGGGAAACTGGTTTTTACAATAGAAGGCCCGGTTCTGGACACCCTAGGGTAACAGAACCACGGGATGACCAGTTTTTAACTTCGAGAATTTTATGAAACCGGCACCTTACCGTTGTTCAAGTAATTCATCAGCTCGAAGAAGTTCGAGGTGTGCAAATTTCTGAACGTACCGCTCGGAAAAGATTAAATGAGTATGGATTAATGACTTTTCGTCCAGTAAGAGGACCAGAGTTGACCAGAACTCACAGAGTAACACGGCTGACTTTTGCTCGAGAACATAGCCATTGGACTAGGGACGAATGGAGTGCTGTACTTTTTTCAGATGAGTCAAGATTCGATCTCCAGACCGGCGTGAAAGGGTGTGGATAAGAAGAAACGAAAGATATGCAGCCTGTAATATTTCCCAGAGCCAACCTTTCCAACGTGGTTCCTTAATGGTGTGGGCTGGGATTTCAACGGAGCGCTGCACATAATTGGTTGTTATTCGTGGAGGGTCATTGACGGCCATTCGCTATGTAGATGAGATTTTGGAACCTCATGTGTTACCTATCCTCAATGAAATTGGCAATCATTCTATACTAGTGCACGATAATGCACGCCCGCATAGTGCAGACGTTCCTTCAACAGGAGGAGGTTTTAGCCTTTCCAGCTTGTTCTCCAGATTTGAACCCCATTGAGCATTTATGGGATAACCTTGGAAGACGAATAAGAGCGCGTGCAACACTTCCTGATACACTGCAGGACCTTGAAAGGGCTCTTCGGGAGGAATAGGCTATCCTCCAGCAAAGGAACATTTCCCGACTGGTGGAAAGTATGCTGAGGCATCTTCAAGAAGTAGTGAAGGCAAGAGGAGGAAACACACGCTACTAAACGATGATGTAATTAATTTCTTTTAGAATAATAATGGTTCGTTTTGAAATCTTGGAAACATTGTAATCTAGAATAATTTCATTGAATTAAGGATTAAGGGTTATTGTCCTCTATATTAACATTCCTAATTGAAAACAAACAAAAAGATTACCTATTTATTCATTAAAAACAATAGACCAATCCAAAGCAGAAATATTTTAAGATGAAAACATGAAAAAATCAAGTGGGTGGAATTTTTTGCCTGTCAGTGTATTTAAATTCCAAACATCTTTTTTTCCCATTATGTATCTATCCTACAAGGATATTTACTTGAATTTGAATAATCGTGAGGACCTGTTTTTTTTTATATATATATTTCTTTTAATTTAATTATAAATAGTATTTGAGAATCAAACATTTTCCATTTGATTTATTGTATGCAAAAGTGAAATATTTGCTTCATAAAATAAATGTTATGTGACAATATTTTAGAGTATTTGATTTCATATACGGTAGAATGTTGATTATCCAGATTAATTAATGCCAACTTTGATCCAGGTTTTGAATTAACATTGATGCAAATGCAGTTATACATGTTTATATAGTAAAATTGCTACTCAGAGCAAATAATAAAAAAGGATATAGATAGTATGGGATGTGATCTTATCAATGAAAAAAAAATAGAGAACGTGAAGAAACTACAAAATAAATCCACAGTGCAGGACTTTTTATCAAGAAATTTTGATGTGGCCTATGGGGTGTATTGCAAAAACTGAAGATTGACCTTTTATGCAAAATAGGCCTAGTTTGGCAGCGGTGCATCTTGCCACTTTTTAAATTGTGGAGATGACTGATATTAAGTTTTACCCTGTAATAAATGATTTTATTCTTTGTTTAATTTGACAAGAAATTCTGATTTTCATGAAGTCGAGTTGGCCATTTCTAACTTGTTTTAAAATTCCTTCTTACTCTTTTATCTTGACATTTCAGGGTATATTTTTTTTATCTTCAGAACTTTAAGCTGACCAACATAGAGCAGAGCTGAAAGCTATATAGAAGGACATAGATGATGTAATCCAATGTATAAAACCAGGAAAGTTACGCTTGGTTGGACAAACTGTGAGGATGGTAGAGGAAGAGATTGCTGTCAAAGTGTTCCGATAGCAAAAATCCTCAAGTCCTGCTTGATGTCTGTAATAAAAAGGCAGCAGCACTCAGTAGAGTACACTGTGGGATCAGTACTGAAGCATACCAAGACTTCGTTGGCCGTTGAGTTAATAGATTGATATTTATGACTTAAAGATGAAATATTTTGCCTACATTTTTATTTCTTCTTTCGTTACGCACTATAAGTTATCTGCTTCAATGTTTATTTTTAATTTTCATAGCCATGAGCGATTGACTACCAACTGGTTACATTAAATTACAAATGTTGGTATATAGAAGTAAAAGTAATCTTTATTATGTACAATTTTTAATATTAGAAAATAGAAGACATAAAAATATAAGTGAAGTATTAGATTTGTATACTGTAAGTTATGAAGATGGAGAAAGTATTCTTTGTTGCATCAGCATGAAATATTTGGTACTTGTATAATAGCGGGTAGCGTCAAAACCTCCCTTGTTATCTAATCTTATTTCACATAACCTCCCTTATATCCTCTAACCTAAGTTATTCCTTTGTTTATTTTTTGTTCTTTGTGTAAGCTGTGAGTTAGTTTTATTTAATCATGGATGTTGTCACATTGTGGGAATTGCCGTCTTCAGAAGAAGAGGCTATCAAATATTTTCAAGACACCGGGATATTTGCAAAGGTGGAATATTTTTATGGAGGTCATCAATTGAAGTTCGACGGGAAGATTAAATGGAGATGCTTTCGTAGTTGTAACAAAACCGTTTCTATAAGGAAAAGAATGTGGTTAGAGGGGTCGAGGATTTCTTTTTTAACGGCTTTAAAATTCATTTATGGGCTGTCCCATAATTTAACAACAATACAGTGGAGGAAAGAGCAGCTCAAACTATCCCAGGCAACTATCGTAACGTGGAACAAATTTTTCAGAGAGTTTTGTGCCCATAACATGTTATACATGTCAAGTAAAGAAATTGGAGGGCCTGGCAAAGTCTTTGAAGTAGACGTGTCTTTTTTCTAAAAGAACAAATCATGTAGTCCTACCTGATGTTTGGTAGAGTTTGCTGAGAAACAGACGAGTGTTTTATCGTCAAAATAAACGACAGAAAAGCAACAACTTTATTAAAGCTATTAAAAACAATGTACAAGAGGGAAGCCTCATTTATTCCAACTGTTGGAAAGGATACAACACCAAACAACTCAATGAAGCAAAGTATAATCATTTCCAGGTGAATCACAGCTATAATTTTGTTGATCCATCAAGTGGGGTCCATACTCAACACATTGAACGATTATGGGGCTCAGCTAAGTGGGAAAATAGAAAACATAGAGGAACTGCCATACAACACCTTGATTCATATTTATGTGAGTTTTTGTGGCGGCGGGCTCACAGAGAAGAGGATCCCTTCCTTGCTATTTTAAATACCATAAAACTATTTTCCATACCAAAATAAATTAAGTTAGAATAAAATTGTTCATATTTTGTTTATAGTGTTTATATCGTTTCTTTTATATGTACATCTGTTCTTTATAGTCTTCATAGTGTTTCTTTTATATTACATATGCCGTTTAAGTGGTTTTTTATTATTTCATTTATTTTTTTCTATTTTTTGCCTATTTTTATTATTAGTGCCCATAACATGAATTTTTTTTTTGTTCACAATTTCAATAATATCAATACAATACAATACATATGAATACGAAGACATAATAATATGAATGTAATACAATAAATATGGGTACGAAGATATTATCAGTGGCTTATCAGAGTTATCAGTGTTAAGGTTATAAACATTGGCAAATAGCAGTTGGACGCTACCAGCTATTATATAATTGCCAAATATTTGATAAAAAAAAAAATAAAATAAAAAATAAAGAAATTTGAAAATTGTCAACTTGATCTAACAGTATTAATTTTATATTCTAATTAATAACTATTGTTGATTTTTGTTTTTATTTGTTAGCCCAATACTTCCACTGAAGTCCTATACTGCCAACTATTGTTAATGTTATATAAATTACATAATGAAGTTCACATTAATAAATAATAAAATCCAATTATTAGTAATATATAAATTTTATAATGTTATTACTATGTTTAAATGTGACTATATTTCTTTTCTGAATCATTCTATTTTCTGATTAGTTTTATATTTGGAATTAAGTTTGAACGTTTTTTATTCTACAAATAAGAATATCAATGTTAATTTTCCTTAAACTCGTTGGTTTTACAGGAGTGAGGCATTAAAATAAGTCTCAAAGTTATTTTATGATCTCAAAGGCAGAAGGTGGAAATTTTGAATAATTTAGCATTCGGGAGTCAAAATGTTACTTTGTATTATTTTAAATGAAAAATAATGGGTCAAATAATGCCCTCAAAAATGAAGTAGCAGATCTGTCTTCAATGTCTTTTGGAAAGTTAATCTCAACTTGATGATTCAATTGATAGTCTGGTTGATCCACATCCGGATAATTGATGCTCCCCCTTGCTTTGAAATCATAAATTAATGTATGGAGCAGGAGAAAGAAGTGTCTGTAGGATTTTTAAAGTAGTATTATCTTCACTAATACTAGCTGTCAGTGGAACAGAATTTTGTTTTATTAAACTGAAGTGAAATTTTAAATATTTAGTGTGATTAGGCGGAAAATGTTAATTGGATAAACAATTTATTTGTGATTTATTTAAAACTTTTTGTTTATTTTAAAAATCTTAATTATCAAAATGTTATTGAATAATTTTAGTAAAGATTTCACTTTTCATATTACAGTCATTTGAATTCTATTTCCTATTTATATCCTAATAGTCTGTGGTACAGTCCCCTTTTTATTAAATCATTAACATCCACCTAACCTTTCCACTTGAATAGTAAGATAATATGATTACAAAGTCGAAAAATAAGGTGGCCTACAAAAATATTTGTGTGTTTGGCATGACCTCCACTCCCAAAATGTATAAATAATGATCATATTATCCTTCAATTCAAGTGGAAGCCAAATGGATATTCATGAATTCTTAGTACCTAATTAAATAAACAAAGTTTGTCTATCTCCAGATTGAAAATGCTCCAATTCTGAGAAGTTTTGTAAATAGAGTCTTTGTAGGTTATGAAGAAATGAAGTCATTCACGAAGGTTTATTCATATGTTAATAATTAGATAAAAGGGGTCTGTGCCACGGACTGTAAAAAGAAGTGAAAAATATTTATATGTGTGTGTGTTTTAATTTTGTGGTTTAAAAAACTTAGTTTATTAATATTATGATTTAGATTTTATTATAGAAATTGGTCTTCTGTATTATAGTTTTATTTAAACAAAAAAAAAGGGGGGGAATGGGGTAGCTCAGTGGTAGGGCACTAAGCTTCGAATGCAAAGGTCCCAGGTTCGAATCCTGGCTCATGGCAGAAAATTTATTTATCTGTTTCATTGGCCATGGGGCCACCCTGGGTCGGGAGACCCTCCTGGGGCACACCCAGCCTCTATAAAGTTTGTACCCTTAATTAAATAATTAATTAAGGGGGAAAACCTGGTGGTTGAGCGTGATCTCGGTCAAATCACCTCCTTGCACGATCGTTGACCTAAAAACAGTGCTTTCCCTAAATAGTACTGAACCCCAGACCCTTCATGGGTTGTAGTGGTACAGGTTAGGTTAAAAAAAAAACAACTTATTATTGCTGAATTTCATAAATTGAATTTTATACTTTAAATTTAAGATTGAAATGGTAGCAGATCTGAAGAGTAATAAGAATGTTGATATAAACTATGGTCCGATTCTGCACAAAAAATCAGAGATTTTAGAAGAAAAAATAATCAGAGAATAAGTGGTAGAAGCATTGGATATTTTTACCAAAATCCATGTTGCTGAAAGGCAAGGAAGGAAATAAATAATTCAGGAAATTAAAGTGTTTTTTTTTTTGTGTAAGACAATTTCTTTTTTTAATTGCAAGTTTTAACTAAAACCTATTTAATGTGGGTCAAAACAGTCAAATTATCTACTGATAATAGTAAAATTTATCTTTCTATATACAATTTAAGAAGATTTTAAATGGGTGAATTATGGTATGTTCTGTTTTTCAAAATATCATGAATTATTTATTTTTTGTTTTGTTTTTCATCAGCCTTCAGAATTACTGATTCTCCACTTTTAGAAAAACATTGTTTAACAAGCTTTAAGTCGATATGTGTTAGTAATCTGATCCCAGATCTCTCAGGTTATCGTGCAGAGGATTTTTCTCTCAAAACTCTCAATACTTTTTTCTAGGGTGCTGGTTTGTATCCAGGCCGCCATGTATTAGAACGGATTTTATCATATTATTGTACATCCTTAATTTGAGATCTTTCAGGATTTAAATACCTATGAAAGGGAGAAGAAAGCTCTGTTCATGCTTTTTATACACTGGTCTAATAATAAATAATTACAATAAATTAATTACTAACACAAACTTTTTGTTTATAAAAAATATCTGTTTTTTTTTTTTTAAAGTAAACATTTAAAAACTATAATCGAAGTGATATTGCACCTGTGCTTTTTACATTTATCTTAAGTATGGGTATTAATCCCTATAATATTAGGTGACCAACTAAATATTACTATCTTCAAATCTTAATTCTAATAATTACGTTTTTTCTAATACTAGTGATGCGGCTGGAAAAGTGGCACTGGGATCTTCTGGAGTCTTGCTTTGCCTTCCGCGTGTGGGGGGAAAAGCCTGGCTCGGAGATTCTTGGGCGAATGTATATATTGTATATAGTTATGATTGTGTTTAAAAGTTTTTATTTTATTTTATTTGTTTATTCTTATTTTTTATTTTTATTTACTTTCTTCATCAGTATTATTTATTTACTTCTTATATTTATATTTATTTCTTTATTATTTGTATATATTGCATGAATGAGAACTTTTAGCCCTAATGCTTATAGCCCTCCAGCAGTGGCTGATTGTATTATTATTCAATAAATAGATTAAAAAAAAAAAAAAAAATTGCATTTCCAGGAAAACATTTCAAGTACTTGTACCAATTACCAATATTACCAACTTCGAAAAAATTTGAATTAGTTATAACATTATTTTATTCATAGTTTTAAAAGTATTTAAGTATAATATAGTCTATTTTTAAAACTAATTAATAATTTCCCTCTTCATAGTGACTGTTACAGAAGTGGTTACCAAGATAGTGGAACTTTGAAACCTGAACCACCACATGATGATGGATATGAAACTGCTGGAGGAGGGGAACTTGACATGCCAAACCATCATCATGCTCAAGCACATATGGCTATGGTTTCAAAAATGGGAAACCACTTACAGGATAGTATATTGAAGTACAATATGCCTGAAGATCCCTATTCTTTTGTCGATGATGAACACATGATAGCACCAGTTCAGTGTTCACCAGTCATAATGCAGCAAGTGCCAAAAAAAAGAGGAAGGAAAAAAAAAATTAAAACAGAAGATATTTCTTTACTTGGTCACAATCAGACAGGGTAATAAATTTTTTTTCAGTGAAGAGTATTATTTAACTTTTTCTAATTTATTTTTGTTTAAGGTATAGTTATTAAAATAGTTTAGGCTATACACATTTCAATGAATTGGTAAAATATATATACACCCTAAATTATTTTATTAACTTTTCTTTGTTAATTATATATATTTTATTATCTGAAAAGTTATGACCAAAAAAAAAAGGATAAATAAAAGTTAATAAAATAATTTTTAATAAATATAATTTTCCATAGGAATTTTTATTTGTTGGGCGCCTGGCTTTACTAGCCTTTCATCTCTAAAGAGATAATTATAGAGAATATAAGTTACTTACCCATGATTTGGCCATAATAAATCATTTATTAACCATGCTAGCTCAGGTGAGAAGGGTTAGTTTGGATATTTTTTTATAAAGCAGCAAAATAGGTTAACAGATCTATTTATAAAAAGAAATATTTACAGAATTAATATTATGTACAATAAAAAGGAATAAAATACAAGGAAAAAGAGGGAACTCAAACATAATTACTATATACAATTAAAGTTAAAAAAAAGAAAGATATTTAAGATAATAAAGATAATACAAATAACAAAAAAAAGATACTTATTTTTTATATACAATATTATGGCATGCCACATCCAAAAATAGTCAAGATACAATAAGATGTAAGAGTACATGCACATGCTAAAATATCAATTAGTCATCTCTTCAGGAAACAAAAGACAGTAGCGTTTGTTTTGTTTCCAGTGCTTTCTTTATCTTGGTTACAAAGTATATTAAACAATTTAGTGTTTCTAGTATATAATTTATCCGACTTAAATGAAATGAACCTAATTGAAAATTATCAACTTTATTCTCATCTTTATTTATTTTTTTTAAACCGAACAAAACAAGTAAAATATTAATAAAAAGGTTTTAAAAAATGGGTCAACACTCTGGAAAAAGGTAAAATCTGTTAAATAGTTTTCCACCACGGTGGAAGTTGTTGGTATACAATCTTAAGTTCCTACTTTGTGGTGTATGTGTTTTGTAAATACAAAAACTGAATACAGAATATTGTTTGTATGGGATTATAGGGAGGAGACATGTTCCAATGTTACCTGGTCAGAGACAGCCATCAGTTAACATCCTCTGTATTATCACGTGTTTTATTTCGTTTAAGTTGCGTTGATTTTTGAATTTTTTTTTTCTTTCTTTTTTATCTCGTTAAATCTATAACCATAGATAAAATTAACAGCTCGTATTTCCTCACGGTTCCTCGAAAAGTGAACGTATTTAAGTAATATAAACTATTACAAGCCACGGGACTGTGATAAACAACTGTGCTCTGTAGGATTAAGCACTGCTGTTGGGCTTAGGGATCTTAACAACACATCGTGTTATTGTAAGTAAACTTTATTTACTTCATATTAATATGGCTCAATGCCCGGTATGCAGCAGCACCATCAGTCGTGAAGAAAAAAATATTTTATGTTGCGCTAAATGCAAATTATTATTTCATAGCAGATGCTGTAAACTTAGCGATAAAGAGTTCGAGCCTCAAAAATCATCGAATAAAGTATGGATATGTAACAATTGTGATCAAGCAAAAAAGTTTGCAGCAGGTGGTGAAAACCCGAAGCAAAGTCGCAGCACCGAGCCAACACCGTCAGAAATTCTGGCGGCAGTACAGCAGGTTGAAAAACACATTAACACCAAAATAAAAGATATTAAAACAGCGCTGGAAAAATACGGAGACCTGACCTTTGAATTAAATGCAAGGTTAACAAAAATTGAGAACCATTTAGAGGGACAAGCGAAACATTTTGAGGAAATTATATCTGAAAATAAAGCCCTCAAGTCTAAGGTAGGTGAATTGGAGGTCAGGCTAAATAAAGCAGAGCAAGGCCTTCTTAATAGATCGCTTGAGATTCGGGGCATTCCTGTTCGAGCGGGTGAGACCCCTGCAGCCCTGGTTACAAGTATTGGGGCTGGCCTGGGAATCAAGCTCAATATTGATGACCTGGACACTGTACAGCGTCGAAGAGCCAAGAAGGACGACCCGCGACCACCGCCCATCATCGCACGATTTGTCAGGCAGTCAGTGAGGGACGACCTGGTGCAGAAACGAAAAGTAAAGCGGGACTTCTCGACGCGGGAAATCGGCTGGCAGGAGAATGACTGCCATCGTATCTATCTCGGCGAGGAGATGACCCCTAAGAATAGTCACCTCTACTGGCTCGCAAGGCAGAAGAAAGCCGCGGGGAAAATAAAATATACCCGGTTCGCTTTCGGCACAGTGCGGTGTAGAAAAGACGACGGCCATCAGGTTGTCCTCATCAACCAGGCACAGGACTTAGACGTCTTCGGATGACGGCTTGAATCTCGTTCACCATCAAGCATCTACGAACATTTTGGCACGCTCACCGGACCTTCATCGGAAATCTTTTATTTTACATTATATTATCAAGGCTATTTATTAACTTATTATTTATATATTTTTTTCTTCACGTCATCTAATGTATTTAATCTTTTTCAGCGTCTTTCCATCAAATACCGAATGTCCTCTCCGTAATCCTACTCATGTCTAGTGTCCTAACTTCCTGCCACGTCAACTCCCAATCCCTTCCAGCCCATTACGATGAATTCCTAGAATATTTTACCCAAAACTTTTACCACATCATCGCAATTTCCGAAACCTGGCTCAAGCCCTACATCCCCTCCTCTTCAGTCTCCCTTCTTAACTACACCCTAATCCGCCACGACCGGGACTGCCGGACTGGTGGAGGTGTAGCTCTGTACGTTCATACCAGCCTAAAGACCCGAATTCTCCATCGTTCTTCTCCAGCCGATCAACCACAAGTCGAGTTCTTCATCGTCGAAATCTCCTGTAACACCTCTCATCTCCTCTATTCCGTGGTATATCGTCCTCCTCTTGTTCCGTTTGACCCGTCTTTCGAAGCTTCCCTCTTTAACTTTGTGCCCCTTTATTCCAAAATTATCATTTCCGGTGACTTAAACACCAATTTCCTCTCCGACTCCAGCGACAAATCATACCTAGAAAACCTTTTTTTCTCCCTTCATCTTTTTATCGTTCCTTTTTCTGCTACGCATCACACCGCAAGGTCCGACACTTGGTTGGACCTGTACATTATTGATTCCGCTCAAAACCTCCTTTCCTCTTCCCAATTACCAGTTTCTTTTTTATCGTCGCATGACCTAATCCAAATATCCTATAATATCCAAACCCCTCCGATCCTACCGAGAACGGTAACTTTCCGGAACCTCAATGGCCTTACTCGGGAAAAAATCTTACCTTCCCTAGAATCCCTAGATTGGAATATAATATATTCCTGTACCTCAATTGATTCCATGGTTGACATTCTCACCTCCAATCTTATTAATATCCTTGATGACCATGCCCCTCTCAAAACCTCCACCTTTCGTCGCCTTCCTGCTCCCTGGATGTGTCAGAAAATTAAGGATCTTCAGAAGAGGCGTGATGCAGCCCGGAGACGCTTTAGACGCACTAGATTGCTTGACGACTATCAAGCGTTCAGGGCGCTCCGCAACCTGACACAATCCACAATCCGACGAGCCAAATCTACCTATTTCCATGAAGCCCTTTCCTCAGCTCCTGATTCCAAATCCAAATGGCTACTCCTTCGTAAACTCTCTCTTTGTGATCCTACCAGATCTCCTCCCTCTGCAGTGCCCCCAGTTTCATCAAATGACTTAAATTCTTATTTTATATCTGCTTCCTCTTCAACTCCTTCATTTCTCCCTTCCTTCTTTCCTCCTGGAACATCTTTCAATGACACCGATTTTTATTTTTCAGATATTTCTCCCACAAACCTCATATCCCCCGTGATGAAATCACACTCTAATTCTATCGGTCCAGATGGCATTCCCGTCAAATTAATTAAATTATGCCTCCCTGAAATCCTTCCGGTACTCCTTTTCATCTACAATTTTTCCCTTCAAAATTCAGTATTCCCTTCCTTGTGGAAAAAAGCCACAGTCCGTCCTTTAAATAAAAATTCTAATCCGTCTTCCCCTGAAGATTTCCGGCCAATCTCAATCCTTTCTAACCTTTCCAAACCCCTGGAGAGAATTGTGCAATCCCAAGTTTCCACCTTCCTTGAACAGTCCAATCAACTTGACCTTTACCAATCTGGTTTCCGACCAGGTTATTCCACTTAATCCGCCCTAATCAAAATCATTAATGATGTTCAGTCCGCCATTGATGACCAAAAACTAACCGTCCTTATACTCATTGACTTTTCCAAAGCCTTTGATTCCATCAACCACTCCATTCTCTTTTCCAAATTAAAATCATTATCCTTTTCCCATAGTTCTATCCTATGGTTTCAATCATTCCTTTCCCAACGCTCACAAGCTGTCGCTATTCCTAATCAACCCTTGTCTTCCTATCTTACTTTGTCCGCAGGAGTGGCCCAGGGCTCTAGCATATCTCCCCTCCTTTTTAGTTCTTATATCAATGACATCCATAATTCAATCCTTCACTGCTCCCATCACCTTTACGCCGATGACTCCCAAATCTACCTTTCCTTCCATCCCTCAGAGTTGCATGAAGCGTTTGCCAAAATTCAAGAAGACTTGAATCGGATCAGTGCCTGGGCAAACTTAAATGGGTTAAGGTTAAACGCTGCAAAAACTCAAGCCATTGTCATTGGTTCCAAACCCCTTCTCAGAGCCAATACCAACATACCTATACTGTACCTAAATGACCATCCCATTAACTTCACCTCCTCAGTAAAAAACCTAGGCATTTTCATAGACCAAACCCTATCCTGGAAACACCATATTGCTCACATTACCCGACAGTCAATTGGTACCTTGAAACTATTCCATCGCTTCCGCCATCTCCTACCCATCTCCACACGTAGACTCCTAGTAACTTCCCTCATCTTCCCCCACCTTGATTACGGCTGCGTGGTGTACGGTGGCCTCTCGGCAGAACTCGGGGAGAGACTGAAAAGAATTATGAATGCCTTCGTA